TATCTTTGTTATTGCGAATAGTGCAGCAATGAACATGGAGTGCAGGTATCTCTCTGATACACTGACTTCTTTTCCTTTGGGTAAACACCCACTAGTGGGATTGCTGGATCATATGGTAGTTCTATTTTTAGTATTTTGAGAAACCTCAGTACTGTTTTCCATAATGGCTGTGCGAATATACATTCCCACCAGCAATGTATGAGTTTCCTTTTTTCTACATCTTTACCAACATCTATTATGTATTTAATAATAGTCATTATAACTAGGTTAGGATGATATCTCATTGTGGTTTTGATTTGCACTTCCCTGAAGTCTAGTGTCATTGAGCATTTTTTCATATACCTCATGGCCATTTGTATGTCTCCTTTTGAGAAATGTCTATTAGTGTCTTTTGCACATTAAAAAAAAATTATTTTTAGAGGCAGAGTCTCACTCTGTTACCTGGGATGGGGCGTAGCAGCGTGGCTGTTGTTCACGGCAACTTTGAACTCTTGGGCTCAAGCGACCCTCTCACCTTAATCTCCCAAGTTTCTAGGACTAGAGTTGTGAACATCACACCTGGCTTATTTATTTATTTAGTTAGTTAGTTATAGAAACTGGTTCTTGCTACGTTGCCCAAGCTGGTGTCAAACTCCTGACCTCAAGCAATCCTCCTGCCTTGGCCTCCCAAGGTACTGGGATTAGAGGCACCAGCCACCACATTCAATTCTTTGTCCACTTTTCTTTTTTTTTCGGCAGGTGAGTTGTTACACACTCCTTAGTGGATTCCGACTTCCATGGCCACCGTCCTGCTGTCTTTGTCCACTTTTCAATGGAATTATTTGCTTTTTCTTGTTGAGTTGTTTGAGTTCCTTGTATATTCCAGATATTAGTCCTTTGTCTGATGAACAGTTGGCAAATATTTTCTCCCATTCAGCAGATTGTTTCTTCACTCTGTTGATTTTTTTTTTCTGCCCGGGAGTTTTTTAGTTTAATAGAGTTCCATTTGTCTATTTTTTGTTGTTGTTGCCTGTGCTTTTGAGGCCTTAGCCATGAAATCTTTGTCTAGACCAATATCGTGTAATGTTTTCCCTGTTTTCTTAGTAGTTTTATAGTTTGGGGTCTTATATATAGGTCTTTGATCCATATTGAGTTGACTTTTGTATATGGTGAGAGATAGGGGTCTGGTTTCATTCTTCTGCTTATGGGTATCCAGCTTCCCCAGCACCATTTATTGAGGAGGGTGTCCTTTCCCCACGGTATGTTCATGTTGCCTTTGTCAAAAATTAGTTGGCTGTAAATATGTGGATTTATTTCTGGATTCTTTATTCTCTTCCATTGGTCTGTGGATCTCTTTGTGTACCAATAACATGCTGTTTTGTTTACTATGATTTTGTAATATATTTGAAGGCAGGTAGTGTAATACCTCCAGCTTTGTTCTTTTTGCTTGTTTGCTTGGGGTTGCTTTGGCTATCCAGGCTCCTTTTTGATTTCATATGAATTATAAGATTTTTTGTTCATAATTCTGTAAAGTATGATATTGAAATTTTGAGGGTTTTTGTTTGTTTTGTTTTGTTTTAGATACAGTCTCACTCTATTGTCCAGGCTGGAGTGCAGTGGCATGATCTCAGCTCACTGCAACCTCTGCCTCCTGGAATCAAGCTATTCTTGCCTCAGCCTCCTGAGTAGCTAGGGTTACAGGCACTTGCCACCACGCTTGGCTAATTTTTTGCATTTTTAGTAGAGATGGAGTTTTACCATATTGGCCAGGCATATCTTGAACTCCTGGCCTCAAGTGATCTGCCTGCCTTGGCCTCCCAAAGTGCTGGATTACAGGTGTGAGCCACTGTGCCTGGCCTGATGCTGGTATTTTGATAGCGATTACACTGAATCTGCAGATTACTTTGGGTAGTATGGTCATTTTAACAATATTAATTCTTCTGACCCATGGGCATGAAATGCGTTTCAATTTGTTTGTGTACTCTTTAATTTTTTTCATCAGTGTTTTGGAGTTTTCCTTGCAGAGGTGTTTCAACTCCTTGGTTAAATTTATTTCTGGGCATTTTATTTTTTGTAGCTATTGTAAACTAAATTGTTTTATTGATTTATTTTTTAATGATTTCATAGAGGTTTTTTTGGTGGACTCTTTAGGTTTTTCTAAATATAAAATCATGTCACCTGCAAAAATGAAAATTTTGACTTCCTCTTTTCCAATTCAGATACCTTTTGTTTCTTTCTCTTGCCTGATTGCTCTGGCTCGGGGTTCCAGGCATGGAAGATTTTCCTTTCATGTTGAATAGGGATGGTAAAAGTGGGCATATTTGTTTTTTTCCAGTTCTTACAGAAAAGGCTTTTTAGCATTTTTCCATTTAGTGTGATGTTAGCTGTGGGTTTGTCATACAGGGCCTTTATGTTGAGGTATGTTTCTTCTCTGCCAATTTGGTTGAGAGTTTTTATCATGAAAAGATGTTGAATTTTATCAAATGCTTTTTCTGCATCTATTGAGATAATCGTACGTTTTTTGTCTTTCATTCTGTTGATGTTATATATCATGTTTATTGATTAACTTGCATATGTGAACCTATCCTTGCATGCCTGGGACAATTCCCACTTGATCATGGTGTATTGATGTACTATTGGATTCTACTTCCTAGCACTTTGTTGGAGAATTTTGTGCCCATGTTCATCAAAGGTATTGGTCTGTAATTTTCTGTTTTTTTTTTTTTTTTTTTCCCAATTGTGTCCTTGTCTGGTCCTGGTATCAGGGTAATGCTGCCCTCATAGAATGAGTTGGGGAGAATTCCTTCCTCTCCGCCTTTTTGGAATAGTTGGAAAGGCAAATTGGTGTTAGTTCTTCTTTATACATTTCATAAAATTCGGCAGTAAAGTCATCCATTCGTGGGCTTTTCTTTGTTGAGAGACTTTTTATTACTGATTTAAGCCTGTTACTCATTATTGGTCTGTTCATGTTTTCTATTTCTTTTTAATTTAGTCTTGGTAGGTTGTATGTGTCCAGGAATTTATCCTTTCCTCTAGGTTTTCCAACTTGTGCATAGTTGTTCATAATAATCTCTGATGATCTTTTGTATTTCTGTGGTGTCAGTTGTAATGTCTCCTTTTTTTGTTTCTGATTTTGTTCATTTGGGTCTTCTCTCTTTTTTCTTGGTTAGTCTAGCTGGTTTATCAATTTTGTTTCTTTTCAAAAAACCAAATTTTCATTTTATTGAACGCTTGTATTTTTTTGGCCTCTATTTTATCTAGTTCTGCTCTAATCTTTATTATTTTTTTCTTCTAATTTTGTGTTTGGTTTGTTCTTGTTCTTCTAGTTCCTTGAGGTGTGTTGTTATATTGTTTATTTAGAGGTTTCTTATTTTTTTGATGTAGGTGTTTATTGCAATAATTTTCCTTCTTAACACTGCTTTTCCTGTATTCAATAGATTTCCAGATACTGTGTTTCCATTTTCAGTTGTTGCAAGAAATGTTTTTATTTCCTTTTTACTTTATTTACCTAGTAGTTGTTCAGAAGCAAGTTGTTTAATTTATATGTATTTGTATAGTTTCAAAAGTCCCTCTTGTTGTTGATTTCTAGAATTATTCTATTGTGGTTTGAGAAGATACTTGATATAATTTCAATTTTAAAAAATGTACTGAGATCGGTTTTCATAGCTTACCATTGGTCTACTCTGGAGGATGCTCCATGTGCTGCGAGAAGAATGTGTATTCTGCAGCTGTTGGATAAAATGTTCTGTAGATGTGTGCTACGTTGATTTGATCTAAAGTGCAGTTTAATTCAATGTTTCTCTGTTATCTTTGTGTCTTAATGATCTGTCCAATGATGAGAGTGAGATGAAGTCCCCAGCTATTATTGAATTGAAGTCTATCTCTCTAGTGGGAGAGATAAACTTCTAAAATTATTTGCTTTATATATCTGGGTGTTCTGGTGCTGGGTGCATATATATTTAGAATTGCTATAACCTCTTGCTGAATTGACCCATTTATCATTATATAATGACCTTTGTCTTCTTTCGCTATTTTTGACTTAAAGTCTATTTTATCTCATATAACCATAGCTACTCCGGCTCACTTTTGGTTTCCATTTGCATGGAATATCTTTTTTCATCCCTTTATTTTCAGTCTATATGCGTCTTTATAGGGGAAGCAGGTTCCTTATAGGCAAAACATAGTATATGTTGCCTACAAGAGAAACATTGGATTAAACTGCACTTTAGATCAAATCAATGTAACAGACATCTACAGAACATTTTATCCAATAGCTGCAGAATACACATTCTTCTCATAGCACACGGAGCATCCTCCAGAGTAGGGGTCATTTTTTTCCTTTATTCAGCCTGTTTAGATCTTTTAAGTGGAAAATTTATCCATTTACATTCAAGGTTATGATTGATGTGTGAGGACTTATTCCAGTTACTTTGTTAATTGTTTCTTTGTTCCTTTCTTTCTCTGTTTTTGTTTATTTTGTTTTTTGTAGTGGTAATATTTGAGTCCTTTCTCTTCCTCATTTGTGTGTTTGCTCTACCAGTCCTAACCATAGGACTCCCTTAGACATTTCTTGTAGGACCAGTGTAGCAATTACAAATTCCCTCAGTTTTTGCTTTTCTGGGAAAGACTTTATTTCTTCTTCATTTATGAAGAACAACTATATGGGTATAGTATTCTTGTTGAACAGTCTTTTTTTTTTTCTTTCAACAGTTTGAATATATATTATCTCATTCTCTCATTCTGTCATCTTACTCTGTAAGATTCCTCCTGAGAATTCTGCTATTAGTTTGGTGGGGACGCCCTTACATGTGAGTACATGCTTTTCTTTTGCTGATTTTAGAATTCTCTCTTTGTCTTTGACTTTTGACAATTTGACTGTAATGTGCTGTGGAGAACACTTCTTTGGGTTACATCTTTTTGGAGATTGCTGACCTTCCTGTATGTGGATATCTAAATCTCTTGTTCAACTTGAGAAGTTTTCAGCTATTAATTTGTTAAATAGGTTTTCTTTTTTCTTTTTCTTTTTTTTTTTTTTTTTTTTTTGCAAAAATCCCACACCACTTTATTTCAACCTTTATCCAAAAATGTAAAAAGTGTTAAAAATGTGTAGTTCTGAGCTTCAGGCACCAACCTCCAATCCCCACAGGCAGGTAGGAAGAGAGGCCCCAGGCATGGTGCAAGACCAGAAAACCAAGGTCCTGTGGAGCACCGGCCCTCTCTTAGCACCAATGCCCAAGTCCCTCCCACCCAAACCCCACCCAAGGTCTCCTCTTCAAGGAAGAAACATTTACAATTCTTGAAACTTGTTGGGGAACAGGGTGCATGGCAGTGTGTGGCGCATGGAACTGACCAAGGAGGGCTAGGGCCTGCCCCTCTGCTTTTTGGCAGGAAGGATGGGGCACAGCTCAGCTTCCTCCTCCTCACTGTCCTCTTCCTCTTCCTCGATCTCCTCCTCAGAAATATCATTGCTCATCGTAACAATCTGGTGCCGCCCAGTGATCCGCACAGGGCCGGAACCCGACTTCAGGAGGAAAGTTACAGGTGGTTGGAGCTGGAAATCATCCAGGCTGAGCACGGGTTGGCAGGACAGCTTGAGGTTGGCCACAGGGACTGTGATCTCCTGATGGTCATGGTTCCAGGCCACAACTTCTACCACATTACACTCATCTTTGGCTCCCTCGGTGAGGCAGAGCATGGTCAATGCCAGCACGTGCTCTGCATCATCCTCTTCCTCTACCTTAAAGGTGAAGGAGCGGGTGTGGCCGGAGAGCTCACAGCCGAAGAAAAAACTGTCTATAGTGACCGGGGCCGGGACTCGCGGGCCCCCGACACCCCCGGCCCGCGTTCGGCTCTCCTGACTCAAAAACGCTAAGGCAGCTGCAGTGCCGGCGGCCATGCTGCAAGGGCCTTCTTCCAACTCCTGTTAAATAGGTTTTCTATGCTTTGGGCTTCTCTTCACCTTCTGGAACTCAAAATTAGAATGTCTAGTCTCTTTATGGTGTCATAGTCTAGTCTTATATGGATGTCACCTAGGCTTTATTCATTCTTTTTTTTCTTCTTCTTTTGTCTGACTGGGCTATTTCAAAAGATCTGTCTTCAAGTTCTGAAGACTTTTCTTCTGCATGGTCTAATCTATTGTTAAAGCTCTCAAATAATTTTATTTGATTTGATTTTATTCATTGAATTATTCAGTTCCAGGATTTGTTTGGTTCTTTTTTATGAAAGCAATCTCTTTGTTGAATTTCTAATTCATATCTTAAATTACTTTTTCTGATTTCTTTGTATTGTTTATCTGTGCTCTCTTGTATCTCAGTAAACTTCTTTAATATCATTATTTTGAATTCTTTTTCCAGCATTTCATAATTCTGTTTTTTATAAACACCGTTGCTGGAGAATTATTGTGTTCCTTTGGAGGTGCTATATTTCCTTGCTTTTTCATGTTTCTTGCCTTCTTATGTTGATATCTGCAAATCTGTGTAACAGTTTATGTCTGCATGTCTGGCATGACAGTTGCCTCTCCCAATTTTTGGGTTAGCATTCATAGGGAAGAAATTTTTCAGAAGATGTATCTATAGTGTTGCTTTAGGAGGGCACTTTAGCTTTGTTTCTGGGTGCATGCGGTAGTGTAATCTTCATACGATTTCCACAGCTATAAACAGTGTCAGTGGTATCTGTGATTTCCTCAGTGGCTTAGGCTGTGGTTGTTAGCAGAGGCTGTGATGAGGTTTTCTTGGGGACAGGGATGCCTGGTAGGCCACTCCTCACTCACCAGTGGTGAAAGCGGCACGCTAAGCATGCCTGTCCTTATGCTTTCAGGTGGTGTACAAGATCACCCGTTTTAGCATTTCCAAGTGGGCCAAGTCTTTTTTTTTTTTTTTTTTTTGAGACGGAGTTTCGCTCTTATTACCCAGGCTGGAGTGCAATGGCGCGATCTCGGCTCACCGCGACCTCCGCCTCCTGGGTTCAGGCAATTCTCCTGCCCCAGCCTCCTGAGTTGCTGGGATTACAGGCATGCGCCACCATGCCCAGCTAATTTTTTTTTTTGTATTTTTAGTAGAGATGGGGTTTCACCATGTTGACCAGGATGGTCTCGATCTCTTGACCTCGTAATCCACCCGCCTCGGGCTCCCACAGTGCTGGGATTACAGGCTTAAGCCACGGCGCCTGGCCGTGGGCCAAGTCTTGAAACTCCAGATGCTTACCCAGGTGTCAGCAGTGGCCGCAGTGGGCAAGGTGGGTGAGTGGGTCCTCAGACCCTTGGACAACATGTGTGGCATGGGTGATGGCTGTAGTGGTGGTGGGACAACCCTCAGGCTCCCAGGCAGCATGCGCTTGTCTTAGTGGTCATTGCAATGGTCTGGGTAGGCCAGACCCCAGGCCCTCCAGCTGTGATGGTAGTGGTAGGCTGGGTGGGCCAGTCCTCAAGCCTCTGGGAAAAGTGCACAGATGCCAGCGGTGGGAGGTGGGGATAGCTGATTCCAGGCCCTTGGGGAATATGCTTGTGCATTGGGGGAGGGGCTCCAGGCGGGGCAGGCCTGTCCTCAGGCTTCTTGATGGTGTGCCTGAATGCAGGCTGTGGTGGGCAGGATAGGGTGATCCCCAGGCCCTATAGTGGAGTACTTGGGTGATAGCAGCAGAGATGGCTGAGGGCAGAAAGCATCTATCCTCAGGGTGTATGCAAGTATGCTGAGAACCTGCTGTTAGGGAGTGTGGGGCTGCTGTCACTGGCAGCAGCTGCAGACAGGCAGGCAGGCAGCTCTTAGAATCTGAAGATTGTTTGGTTTGGCCCCTCATGGAGGTGCCTGCAATGGCAACAGTGGGGAGAGCCAGTCCTCAAGGCACATTCACATGTACGGTGGCCCTGCTGCTGAGGAGTACAGTGTTGCTGCCACTGGCAAGTACTTTGGATTCTGGTGGCAGCAGCAGAGGCAACTGGAGGCTGGGAGAGTCCTCAGGGAGCATGGACGCTTGCTGTAGCCCTGCTGCTGGTGGGCTAAGGGTTGCTGTCAGTAGCAGGGGCCCAGGTAGGTGGGTTTCATGCTTTGAGGAGTACATATTTTGGCTTCCATTGTCCCAGGGCAGTCTTCCCAGAGTACTGCAATGCCCATTCTCTGGAGTGCAGGACACCATGTGTGCTAGGGAGCTGGGGATCTTGTCACTTTGCTGGGTTCAACTGGCATCATGCCAGTGCAGCCCTCTGGGAGAACACAGGGGGATGTAATGTCAGAGGGGCTCCCAGGATGTAAAGATGCAGGGGCTGTTGGGGCCCAGGTCAGGATGCAGTGTGGTAGGGGCTGAGCTCTCAAAATTGTCCCCTACTGCAACTGCTCAAAACTCAGAGTGTGTGTGGAAGCCAGAATGAGCTTTCTCTCTGGAGTAATGCCTTTATGTAGTCTCTTGGAGCTCCCTATGGGAATCTCAAGACACACAAGGGTTGAGGAGTTATCTTGTGTCTAGGGTTATAGGAGCCCACAGTAAGAATATGGATCACTGGGAATTTCTCATTTATTTAGATGTGTGTGCGAGTGCATGTGTATGTGTATGTGTATGTGTATGTGTATGTGTATGTGTATGTGTGTGTGTGTGTGTGTATGTGTGTGTGTGTGTGTGTGTGTGTGTGTGTATGTATGTGTATGTGTGAGTTCCTTAGGTTTTTCTCCTTGTAGGATTGTGTCATCTGTGCATAAACAGTTTTACTTTTCTTCCAATTTGGATACCTTTTATTTATTCTCCTTGCCTGACTGTACTGGCTGGAACTGACAGTACAATGTTGAATAGAAGTGGTAAGGATGGACATCCTTGCCTTGTTCCTGATTTTAGGGAGAAAGTGTTCAGTATTTCACTATTACATGTGATGTTAGCAGTAGGCTTTTTGTAGCTGCCCTTTATCAAGTTGAGGATTTTCCCTTCTGTTCCTACTGTGCTAAAGATTTTTATTATGAGTGTTAGGCTTTGTCAATTTTTTTCGGCATCTATTGAAATGATCAGCACATTTTGTTCTTTATTCTATGAATGTGCTGTGTTACAGTAATTGATTTTCAGATGTTAAACCAACCTTGTATTTCTGGGACAAATCTCACTCAGTCATGGTGAATAATCCTTTTCATATATTGTTGTATTTGGTTTGCTAATATTTTGTTTAAAAACCTTACATTTATGTTCATGAGGGATATTGATGTATAGTTTTTTTTTTTCTTTCTTATGGTATCTTGTCTTACATTGATATCAAGCCACTGGTTCACTTTATAAAATGAGATTTATAAAAAAGTTTGTAAAGGATTGGCATTATTTCTTCTTTAGATATAGATACTTAATAGAATTCATCATTGAGGACTGGGCTTCTCTTTGTAGAAGGATTTTTAAATTACTATTTTTTAAAATTCATGTTTTATGAATTATATGAGCTCTCCAGGGAAACGGAACAAATAGGAAATATGTACATATACAACAGGGGATTTACCATAGAATTTGCTCACTCAATTATGGAGTCTAAGAGGTCTTACAATATGCTGTCTTGAAGAGGGTGAACAAGGAAGACCAGTAGAGTGTAATTAGTCAGAGGCGGAAGACCTGGGGACTAGGGAGCAGCTTGGTCTAAGTCCTGAGTCTGAAGATCCAAATCCCTGGAGATTTGATGTCTGAGGGCAATAGAAGATGGATGTCCTAGTTCCAGAAGGAAGAGAAAATTTGCTCTTCCGCTGTCATTTTGTTTTATTCCTGCTTTCAACAGATTGGGTGATGCCTGCCCACGTTGATGAAAGCAATCTTCATAACTGTTGACTGGTTCAAATGCTAGAAGCACCCTCACAGACACACTCTGAAATAATGTTTTGCAAGCTACCTGAGTATCCCTTAGCCCAGTCAAGTTAACACATAAAATTCACCATCACACTAACTGTAGATATATTTAGATTTTCTGCCTTTTTGGGTAAGTTTTGGTACTTTGTGTTTTTCTAGGAATTTATCAATTTCACCTAATTGCCTAATTTATTGGTATAAAGTTGTTCATAGTTTTTCCCATAATCCTTTTAAGCTTCTGTTTGGCAGTGATGTTGCCTCTTTCATTTCTGATCTTGGTAATTTGTCTTCTTCCTGTCTTGATCAGTCTAGCTAAAGATGTGTCAACTTTGCTGATCTTTTAAAGGTATTAACTTTTGGTTTCATTGATCTTTTTTTTTTCTTTATTGTTTTACTGCTTTTGGTTTCATTGGATTTGGGTTTAGTTTTCCTTTTTTAAGTTTCTGAAGGTGGAAAATTGAGTTAATAATTTGATATTTTAATAATATAAATGTTTAAAACTATATATTTTCCTCTAAGCACTGCTTCAGTGGCATCCCATAAATTGTCTGTTTTGTTTTGTTTTGAGACAGGGTCTCACTCTGTCACCCAGGCTAAAGTGCAGTGGTGCCATCTCAGCTCACTGCAACCTCCACCTCCTGGGTTCAAGCAATTCTTATGTCTCAGCCTCCCCAGTAGCTGGGATTACCTGCATATGCCACCATGCCCAGCTAATTTTTGTATTTTAGGTAGAGACAGGTTTCACCATGTTGGCCATGTTGGTTTTGAACTCCTGACCTCAAGTGATCCACCCTCCTCAGCCTCTCAAAGTGGGGAGATTACAGGCCACCACTCTGGGCCCCATGCATTTTCTTTCTTTCTCTCTTTCTCTCTTTCCCTTTCTTTCTTTCTTCCTTCCTTCCTTCCTTCCTTTCTCTCTTTTTCTCTCTCTCTCCCTCTCCTCTTTCTTTCTTTTTTTTTTTTTTTTTTTTTTCCTTCCTTCTTTCTTTCTTTCTTTCTTTTTTTTTTTTTTTTTT